GCTTCAGCAAATATAGTGAATACTCACAAAAATACTTTAAAATTGACAATTTGATATGTGCATCAGTAAAAGAAATTATGATAAATGATAATATAAGAAATAAGGATATCTAAAATTGAATCAGCACAATGCATACATATCATTTACAGTTATGAAGACATGCAAACATATGAGCTGTCTGACAAATAGGTTTGTAGGAATTTCTTGAGCTACTCTTGCTCCAAATTTTCAGTTTGCATGAAATTTTATTCGCATGACTATGTGACGGAAGATGTAGTTTTTCATTCCAGGGCATATTGGAGATTATTGACTAAAGGACTTGGGCCAAACCCCCTACTAATTAGAAGGTTCGAAGCTTATGTTATGTAAAGCAATGACACTTAAATTGAACTAATCGTATCCTGATCAAGAGAGCTATGCCTTTTAGACAAAATAAAGATAATGTGTTTCCTGTATGAAAATTCATAGATCTCATACTGTAACCGATATTCGATGGCTCGTTTTTCTTGCCTGAAATGGGACTACTTTACTGCATCAAAATTTGATCAGCCTGAAGGTGCTTGTTGATCTGAAGACCTCCACCACGAAACTGCTAACGAGATCCCAAATCAGAATGTCGTTGCTCCAGCTGAACCAGTACACCCTTCCAGATCCATTCGAATAACATCATGACGATGCCTAAACTACGAATAAGCTTCAACCACACTTCAGCTTAAACATGGTACATTTCAAGTGGAATTTTATGATGAAATATTTGTAGCTAAATCTCATTTAAAGACAACGTCAAAAGCCCATTGGCGTGTCGACGTTTTGTGTTCATGCTGATGCATTTTACGAGGCACCCTCCTTCGGTTCCGGCAAGCACAGGCCACCTAACAAGCATCGCCGGAGCTGAATCTCGTCTGGCAAAATTTCATGATAATTTCAAGCCAAGAAGACTCACCTGGGCTTCATACATAGTGACCAAAAGAAACTGAATAAAAGGAGATATAGTGACGTATTTGCCTCCATCTCATGCCAATCTAAGTACTCGCAGTCTTGAGCCGGCATATGCCTTGACTTAATGTTAAGGTTCAATAAGCTTCTTGCTCTGAATCTCCTACACAGAGATACATAGCTGAGCTCAGTTCAGCATGGGAGAGAAGAGAAAATGTCCCACGGAGACCCATAAAGGATAGCATTGGTTGAATTGTTGACCTCTTTATCAGATAATTTTTACATGAAATTCGAATCCTTTTTGCAATTTGCATGCCTTTAGATGAATTGATGCAGGTATCGGAAAGCAGATTTTGGTTGTTTTGGTCTCAAATGCCTTTTTTGAACGAACTGATGGTAGGCTTACCTGGTGAAGTGTCAGGCAATTTGTAGGAAATTCAAAGAGTTTTTTCTCGTATCAGGTTACAATACTGTCTACCAAAACTAATTTTCACATTGCATTTTCATGCCAGTGGTTATGACTTTATCCGGAAACAGGGTCCCAAAGAATGTGACATAACGTGGGTGGGGATGAGGGAGACGATAACCGAGTCATGGGTTTGGAGCCTAAGGAGAGGAAGATTCTAAATCACTTGCATGTGCATGGGCATGAATATGGACATCATCTGACCTAAATCCTCGAAAATGACGTAATCGAGGACGGGATTTGAAGGCTTTTAGGCAGCCAAATTTCAGACAGCCAGTCAGTGATTTTGACGTTTAACAACGAGCCATTGAAAAGCGGAATAGGAGAGGGAGAGGCAGAATGTAAGTCAAGAGCCCTGGATACGGCATCTGGTACCGGTGGTTCCGGCGATATTGGAGGAAACGAGAGCACAGAATTGTGTGAATATGTGGATGGGCCATATGAAGTGGAGTTGAGAGAAATAGATGCAGCACTAGAAGTTATAGCAAAAAAATTGGTCAAGAGGATTGTCTTCACTTGTCACTCTAATAAGTTGTAACTCAGCGACTCTCACTGACGATGCCGACTACGATGCCGGCGAAGCGTTTAGGAAAGTACCAAGTCAATGGTTTAATGCTAGAAATCACTAATAATATGGCAGATGACACAAATCTGGGTATATTCCACAAGGTCTCCCTATAAATCTAAAGGATACTGCGACCAAACAGAAAGTCAAACCATCTTGATCTTCATATCTCATCTTTTTTTCTTTTCCACTCATTAGCCGACCTCTGCTTTCCTCAAATTCCCAGTCTGGATTCCGGTTTTTCCAACTGCCACTTCTAATGACCACGTACCAGCAACAGCTGGGGCCGCGGCCGAAGGTCCATCTTTATCGTCGGCATCAGAGCCCGGCGAGTCGCCTCACTCCTTCCTGTATCACACCTCCGCCCGGCCCCGAGTCTCCGAACTGGGGCCCCGGACTCGTCTGCTGTTGGTTCAAACCTCCAGACTGCCTGAGGCGACCAGTTGTGCCTCACCAGCGGACACCGAGGATTGCGAGGCTCTGATGGCTGGTTCAATCTCTTTTGCAGGGCAGGAAAAGCACGGCCCCGAGTGTGCTACAGCTCAAAATGAGAAGAGCCGGTTTCAGGTGGGACTGACTAAATTGCACCAGGCATCAAAGCAACACATAAAAATTA